TCTCCGTCAAGTTGAGGCAGCCATTTTGGAAGATCGACGCATTACTGTTCGCCAAATAGCCCAAGGGGTCAGGATTATTAGTACAGGGTCTGTGGAAACTATAATTCATAACCATTTGCATATGCATAAATTCTCTGCCAGATGGATTCCCAAGCTGCTCACACCTTTCCAGAAGCAAGAACGCGATAAGTGCTCGATGATGAATTTGAAGATGTGCCAAGAAGATGAGTCAAGAAGTGTTTTCGAAATACTGATTACACAGGATGAAACGTGGCTCCATCACTATGATCAAAGCACTGTCAATGCAGTGGAAGCATTTAGACTTACCACCTCCAAAAAAAGGCAAAGGTGCAGCCCTCCGCTGGCAAAGTATGCTCACAGTCTTCTGGGAGTAGTGATGACAGATTTCCTGGCAAAGGGTACCACAATTGCACGAGCCTATTACTCTTCACTTTTGATGAAATTAAGAGAAGCTATCAAATCGGGCAAGAGTCGGGCAAGATCAGCAAATTGCAGGAGGATTCCTGCAGGACAACGCTCCGGTCCTCAACTCACATGACGCCAGATCAGAAGCACGGGCGTGTGGCAAAGAAATCCTCTCCCATCCTCCTTACTTTCCTGACCTTGCACCCTCTTACTTCTTCCCAGCCATGAAGTTGTTTTTGAAAGGAAAGCGTTACCCAGATGATGCAGCCTTGATTTCTGAAGTTAGGACGTGGTTTGAGGACCAATCTGGGTTTTTCTACAAAAACGGTGTCTAGAGCTGCATCAAACAATGGGAGAAATGCATAACTCTTGGTGGTTCCTATATAGAGAAAAACTAATAATAATGTGTCAAGTTTCATTAATCTTCCGCTATGGGAAATGAGTCAGGGGCATTACTTACTGAACGCCCTTCGTATTCAGTCTGAATTGTGCATCCTTACTTAGCTTTTCGAAATTATATATACAGGATTTTACGGAGATATCATGTTTTTTTAGTATCTTGCTCATTGGCAGTATCAATAAGCCATATAGATGAATTACTGCGGATTTTGACAAGAGGTTAAAAAAGAAAAAAAGCACACTGACGGAAATACCCCATCAAAGACGTGTAAATGCTTACGTAATTAGAAGATATGTATAATCCCACGTGCTCAAAACTGGAAATGTATAGAAATACGTGCTAATTACATTCATACTGAATAAAACACAATACTATTATCCCATATAGGGCTTCATTATATAGTGCATTCATGCCAATTGAGGTGTACATTAATTGCAACATTAATTGGTGCGTGATTTGTTTCTACCTCACATTGTCCTTGATACGCAGACTGCATTCACGTTTTGTTTCAAACAAATAGCACTATCCCGGAAATAAATCAACAATCTATAAGTTTGCCTATAAGAGGTTCTTCATGTGGGATTACCTAGCTATCACGTCCGCACAACATCACTAGGGTGTGTATCAAAACAAATACTTTATTCAGTTAACTAATATATGAATAAATTTGCTTGAACAAATTATGAACTTTTCGCTTTACCAAATTCACATCGAGTGAGTATTGATATCATTTGAGAGTAACACTCATTTATACCATGCGATGATAATGAATGGTAAAAATGAATCAACTCTTTAACTGTTGGAGCATAAACAGATCAAATCATTCTTCTTCTTAAAGAACACCGCGTACCTAGAGGGGAACCACAGCCCCATTAGAAAACGGAAAAGTAGCTGTTTT